GTCTCAGCGGGGGGTGAACGCTTGTGTGCCGTCTGCTGTAACCCATCCCCCCATCCCCCCCCGGATTCTGTTCAATGCATAACTAAAACAGAGCCCTCATCGACACAAGACCAGAAGGTTTAGAAGGCTCCGTCAAAGCTGCAACATCAGCACTTCCTCTCCACAGCCACTTTGGTGTAGTGGTTAAGTGCGCGGACCCTAATCTGGGAGAACCGGGTCGGATTCCCCACTCCTCCACTCGCAGCTGCTGGATGACCTTGGGCAAGCCATGGTTCTGGCACAGCTGTTCTTGAAAAAGAGCAGCTTCTGTCAGAGCTCTCTCCACCCCATCTACCTCGGGGGCTGCCTGTTGTAGGGAGGGGAAGGGAAAGGCGTTTGTAAGCCGCTCTGAGCCTCCTTTGGGTAGTGAAGGGGGGGTTATAATCCAGTCTCCTCTTCTTTTTCTTCATAAACAGGCTTGTTGGTATGAAACCATGGCTAAATTGTGGCAGCAGGGCTGAGGGTGTCCCCCCCACCATATATATGGCGATGTTTCTCTTGAAGAAAGTCAGAGGAAACAATGGGGTTTTGATTACAGAAGATGGGTTACCCTGGTTATTCCTTCCCGTCTCCTAGCAGGAGGAGGAACAGTAGGAGCCTCTGCTTGACAGGCAGAAGGTCCCAGGTTCAATCCCCAGCATCCCCAGTTGAAAGGACCGGGCAGGAGGTGATGGGAAAGACCTTGACCTGAGACGCTGCCTCAGCGGCAGAGCGTCTGCTTGGCCTGCAGAAGGTCCCAGGTTCAATCCCCAGCATCCCCAGTTAAAAGGACCAGGCAGGAGGTGATGGGAAAGACCTTTTTCTGCCCGAGACCCTGGAGAGCCACTGCCAGTCTCGAATAGACAATACTGGCTTGGATGGGCCAAGGCAGCTTCATGTGTGATCTCCTGAGCAGTAGACTAAACTCTGCCTTGGGAGGGGGGTTGGGATTTATCTCTCTTAGGGGCGGTTTCAGGGGGAAACAGGGCCGCGCCACTGTCTGTTGGGGATTGCAGGAAGCAGATGAGGAGGCAGTGGAGACCAGTGCTCCCTCTAAGCTATGGAGTCCTGTGACCAAAAATTTGACTTTGCGAGCTACCGGCATTAAAGTTGTGAGCAGGTGATTTGGCTGCTGTATAAATCGGTTTGTTCTGGAGCCCTCCTTCCTGAGTGAAGACACAAATTTGTGAGCCGGGGGCTAAAAAACCGTGAGGTAGCTCACACTAGCTCGGCTCAGAGGGAACACTGGTGGAAACCTCTTTGGCTCTCTGCAGCCCTTTCTTAACCAGGGAGCGCACAGGAGCGGAGCTCCGGCAGTAAGGACCCCAGGGGGCGGGCACATGCAACAAACCTCACCCCCTGCTCCCAGCAGCCCTCAGTTGGGCCACGAGGAGCAAGAAGCAGCAAGGAAAATTGCAGAGTCCCCCCGGCCCGCCTTCAGGTACAAGCTCTCTCTCCTCTGTGAGGGCAGATCTGTGCATGTCTCCCCCCCCCCCGATAGCTAGCAATCCAAAACAATCCAGTGGCACCTTTAAGACCAGGTTTTATTCAGGTACAAGCTCTCCCCCACTTTTTGGGGGCAAATTTGGGTGCCCCCCCCCCCCCCCGATAGCTAGCAATCCAAAACAGTCCAGTGGCACCTTTAAGACCAAGGTTTACTCAGGTACAAGCTCTCCCTCCTCTGTGAGGACAGATCTGCATGTTCCCGTCCCCCCCAATAGCTAGCAATCCAAAACAGTCCAGTGGAGCCCGAGCGGTGGGTGCTGCCTTCCAACACACTTCCGGTGACGTCAGGGGGTGTGGCATATGCAAATGAGTTATGCGAATGAGCTCCTGCTCCTCTTTTTCTACGAAATGACCCCTGTTTTGAACAGCCGCTGTTCACTTCTCTCTCGTAGCCCTTTGCAGGCGGAGGGTACCGTCTGGGAGCTGCTCCCGAGGAGGAGTCTGCATACGTGGCCGGAGAGATGAGGCACAACGCAGCCCAGGATGTGAGTATTTTTTTTGGCTGTGCCTGCTAGCGCGCCCCTGGCTCCGTGGTGTCCAGCGGGAGTCCCTTTCTCTGCCACCCGGGTTCAGTTCACAGAGGGTGGAGGGGAAAGGTCTCTCTCTGGCGACTTCTGTGTAAAGGATCTCCGATAGCAGGGCTGCCGATGGGGAAAGGGTCGCTCCCCCCCCCCTTGCTATTTCAGGGCTCCACCTTGCCCCTTCTGAAGACGCTTTTCCAAGGGGGCCATTTCTACCTTGTGGCGTACATTTGAATGTATTTCATTGTTACATAACTCTTACTGTAAAAACGTCTTCGGGAGGAGGCCGTGGCTCAGTAGTAGAGCCTCTGCCTGGCATGCCGAAGGTCCCGGGTTCAATCCCCGGCATCTCCAGTTGAAAGGACCAGGCAACAGTGATGTGAAAGACCTCAGCCTAAGACTCTGAAGGGTTGTGGGGAGGAGGTCATGGCTCAGTGGAAGAGCCTCTGCTTGGCATGCAGAAGGTCCCGGGTTCAATCCCCGGCATCTCCAGTTGAAAGGACCAGGCAACAGTGATGTGAAAGACCTCAGCCTAAGACTCTGAAGGGTTGTGGGGAGGAGGTCATGGCTCAGTGGAAGAGCCTCTGCTTGGCATGCAGGAGGTCCCAGGTTCAGTCCCCGGCATCTCCAATTAAAAAAACCTGGCAGGAGGTGATGTGAAAGACCCCTGCCTGAGACCCTGGGGAGCCGCTGCCAGTCTGAGTAGACAATATGTACATTGGTGGACCAAGGGTCCGGTTTAGTGTACGGCGGCTTCATGTGTGCCCATGTGACATACGCCATGGAATGGACTCCTTTGCAGAGCTGTATCTCAGGGGAGAGCAAAGTGAGGTGGAGAGGAGAGTGCTCCAATTTAAAGTTAAAAGTCCCCCAGCTCCTCCTTCAGTGCTCTCCCCCCCTCCAAGGTTCACACACCGCACTCTCATTTGCAGTCTCTTCCTTACGGGGGCCACATGACCATTTGCAAAGCCAGCCCTTAACTTCCAACCCACCTGCTCTTTTGTTGCCACTGTCTGATCAGTGCCTGGGGAGGTGATGTGAGCTCCCCCTCACTGGCAGTCTCTAAGCAGCGGCTGGACAGACACTTGTCAGGGATGCTCTAGGCTGATCCTGCACTGAGCACTGAGCAGGGGGTTTGGACTAGATCAGGGGTGTCAAACATGAGGCCCGGGGGCCAGATCTGGCACATCCGGGGCTCTTATGTGGCCCGCGAGCAACTGATGCAAGTGGTGAAGTGCTGGGGGGGAGTGGGCGGAGGCACTCCGTTGTGGCTTCAGCATGGCAGAACAGCCTCATCTGCAGCAATGGGGGAGCATCTGCCCAGCGCTGCACTGCTGCCTCTCCCGTCCAACCATACGGGTTTTCCTCTGTGCCCCCCTCCCAGCCCAGGGGGCCTTGCAGTGAGGATACACCGACTCGGATCTTACCAGCTCCTGTCCTTTATACAGGTTCTGTCTCCAGTACCTGGCATGACGTTTATGGCCCGGCTCGACAAAGTGACATTTATGTCAGATTTGGCCCTTGTAACAAATGAGTTTGACACCCCTGGACCAATGCTCCCTCTAAGGTGTGGAGTCTCGTGAGCAAGAATTCTACTTTGTGAGCTCCTGGCATTAAAGTTGTGAGCAGGTGATTTGCCTGCTGCAGAAATCAGTTTGTTCCGGAGCCCTCCTTCCTTAGCGGAGACAAAAATGTGTGAGCCGGAGGCTAAAAAACTGTGAGCCAGCTCACACTGACTCAGCTTAGAGGGAACACTGCCCTGGACTAGACGGCCTCTCTGGCCCCTTCCCACTCTGGGATTCTATGGTTCTATGACTTTGGTGTTGCCTGCAGTCCAGCGACTTTGGCAGACGGCTGTTCTCGCTTCCGGCTGTTCACGAAGGGCCCTCTTGTTTCACATGCAAGTTCCGTCTTTTTTTTCAGGGGGGGGCGTTTGTGTGTTTGTGTGCTTGCATGCCTGGAAGTCATGGTGACTTCTAGTGACCCCTCCTGGGGTCTGGACGTTTTTTCAGAGAGGCGGCTAGATTGCCTGCCTCCGCATCCCAAGCAGTATTCCCTCTAAGCTGGGTTAGTCTGAGCTAGCTCACAGTTTTTTTAGCCTCCGGCTCACACATTTTTGTCTCCGCTCAGGAGGAGGAGGAGGAAGAAGAAGAAGAAGAGGAAGAGAAGAGATTGGATTTATACCCCGCCCTTCACTTGGAGTCTCAGAGCGGCTTACAAACTCCTCTCCCTTCCCCTCCCCACAACAGACACCCTGTGAGGTGGGTGGGGCTGAGAGAACTCTGACACAAACTGCTCTTTT